TTAACCTGTTTTTATAAGTTTGTATATTCAATATTTTAAATTTTATACACATTTTTCTCTGCTTGTTTTCTGGCAAAGATTGCAAGAGCTGTAATTGTCCAATTGACTTGCGATTTTATTCTTTTTATGTAAATAAACGTCCTAAGAGAAAAATTTTTTGCTGAAAAAAAAAAATTAAGAAAACAAATTTAAAAAAAAACAAATTTTTGGTTTATTAAATCAAAAATTTGATTTTTAATTAAGCACATCGAAAAACCTTGATATGCTTTAAAATAAAGAAATTCTCAGCTTTTATCTCAGGACGTTTATTTACATAAAAAGAATAAAACCGCATAAAATTAGAACTTCCTGACGAGCATTTGTTTTTAAAAGTTACGTTCTAAATGTATTTTAAATGTCTTTTAAACGTTTTTTGCGTAAGAATGTTTAGAAGACGTTTAAAAGACATTTAAAATACATTTAGAACGTAACTTTTAAAAACAAATGCCCGTCGGGTTAATACAATATACTTTTTGAAATATCTTTGCCAAAATTTTAGCATATTTTACGCTTGAAACCACCAGTTTTTGCCCAAAAATTACGAGGGAAAAAAAGTTGGCTGATTACCAGACATCTGACCCTTGATAACACATAGCCTCTGAGCCAGAAGTAACTTTCATAATTAATTGACATTTGTAATGTAACATAAACCTCTGTTGTTTCTTTTTCTGCTATTTTATACTAAAATAATATACAAAGTATATTTCCTAGCTTTTCCGCATTTATTAACTTGTTTTATTAAAAAAAAAAGTTAAGTGTTTGGTACCCAAATACAATTTTTGGTACCTAGGTATAAATCAGTTGTCAAGTGATCTATATCGTAAAAATTAATACTTATGTTTACTATCATAATAATAATAATAATAATAATAATAATAATAATAATAATAATAATAATAATAATAATAATAATAATATTACTAAATGACTATATAAGTACCTTCGGGTAAGAATAACTTAAGAATAAGTAACAATATATGTTTGTCTGACAGTGACGGATCCAGTAATTTTTGGTGGGCGAATGTTGTTCGACACATTTAAAAGCCATTTTTTTGTTGTTAACGTTTTCTTTTACTTATATACAAAGTTGACATTTACAAAAAAAATTGTTCGCTTTATATAGCATATAATACAAATTGTGACTCTTGTCGACAATTAATAAAAAAAAAGTTACAATAATAAAAAATCACAACTTGTGACTTTTGTCAATAATTATCACGCTAATTATTAATGACGCACAACATCCCCCTTAGCTCAACAAGAGCTCATACGTAATTGTTGTACTTCCGATTAGGAAGTACTCTCCTTCCATAGCGAGTGAATTGAACAGGCTGTGACTCTGTCTCACCATCTGTTGAATAGTTTTGATCGTTGCCCGTACTATTGTCATTTTTACCATTATCCGGAGGAATTATTTGAAGATTTGGATCATCATTGACAACGTGTTTTGAGCTGGTTTTAAACCATTATGCAATGCCACTATACTTCCTTTCAGCCATCGTTGCGTACACGGCGTTATGTGCTTGGGTTTCACCCACACTTTGTCGCCAACTTTCCATTCACGACACTTTGTCATCGACTTTTGTGTTGATTCGATTTTATCGATTCCAGGAATTCGAACTCGTTTGTGATGTTTCAAAAGGTGTGCCGTGTTTTGATGGAACGTTATTGATTAAAAATACAGACATGGGAATACCACATTTTACTCTTGCATTTGTTCATTTTACCGTCCGATGAACTCTTTCAACTATTCCATTTCACGATGGTTTTTCAACAGCTCGATAGATGAGCCTTATTTCCCATTTCGCAGCCATAGTTTGCATAAGCTGAGATCTAAATGACTTAGAGTTATCTAGAAGAACTTCAGAAGAAGGTCCAAGTGTTGACCATATTGTTTCTAACGCTTAAACGTCCATAACGTATATCTGCTTGGGCCGCCATTAATACAAGTGAGATATAGCGATGAATCAACATGAGTAACATCGCAGGCTACTCTTTCCCATACTTTGCTAACAGCAAGATTTCCTTTATCCCACAACATCACATTAGGGTCAATCGAGTTACATTCATCGCATTCAGCGACAACCTGTTTTACTATGTCTCTGGTAACGTGGATATCAGCGCGCATACATAACTCCATACTCTTGGAAACTCCCATGTGTGCTAGTGAATAAATTTTTCGAATCTGCTGTTTATCGTACTTATAAATGGTATTACATTTTTGTGTTGCAACTTTGTTTTTTATCCATTTTGTTGGCACTTTTGTGAGTTCATCTGCAATATTTTTAGTTGTTGGTACCCATGTAAAAGTTACATTTATTACATAATCCTCGACCAATTTTTCAAATATTTGAAGTCTTCGTCGAATTAACATTTCGCATTGCCCAGCACATTTCACAGGTTTGTCACGAGTCAATTCAGAATTTAACCAACTAAATACACTATGAGAATCAGTTTTAATGGAGAAATCACTTGGATTCCATTTCAATGCCATATTTAGACCTTGCAATACATGCATCTAATTCGACCACATTGATATGCATTGCATCAGACTTTCGTCGGAGCCATGTCGCATCTTCTATCTTTCTGTCACCTTGCGTTATCACAACTCCTTTTGCCAGCGAACTTGCATCGCACCATACAGTCAGAGATGCATTTGGTTTAACATTCCATACACCTTTTGCCGGATCGCACTTTGCGACTTTATCTACAACTTCCTGCATCATTTCGATAACATACTTATTCGTAATAGGTTCATCCCAACCTGCTTCGTTTGTACATCTTTTTATATAGCTGCATGTCGGTCTCAACCATCCAGCAACTGGTAGATTAGCAATCAGATTACCACATAATGAGAATATATCCCTCTTTGTGAGCACAGATTTAATAATAGGAAGCTCGCGTCCTCTCTTCCAAAACATCTCCTTTGTTAATGGATTTACTGTGACTTCTAATCCTAGTGCACGAACTGGGTTTTCGCCAAAATATTCAGGTGCTTTTGCATGAAGACCCCATTTCCTCATATGTATCACCAGCTTTCTTCCATTTCCATTGATTGCTAGGGTGTCATCAATGTATCCTCTTGTTATTTTTGCCAGTGCAGAATCTTGTTGGAGAACATACCGCAATATTGAGCTCATCATTACTGGTGCCAAACTTAAACCAAAGCCCAAAAGTGTAAGTGCATATCGCTGATTTTTATAGAAGACCGTCTGGTAAGGCCAATGCCTTTTATGCACATGAATTTGTAAATATGCTCTTCTTAGATCCACAATCGAGTCATTGCTGTTTTAATTCATGAGTCTCCACTCCCTCATTGCATCATTGATGACATCAGCATCCCTTGTAGAGGCTTTTACATACGTGTTAAGCTTACAATAATCAAGCACAGGTCTTATCTTTATTTTATTACCTTGAATGACACACATTAACGGTAGTAGACCTTTAGGTTTTCCCATAGTTTTATCGTCATATTTGATGAGTATACCTTCTTTGATCTATTCATTTATTTCGTTGTTAAACGCCTCACAATGTTGGTCAGCTACATTATACTAACTTGTTCTATTTTTCATTTTAGGTTCGTTTTCCCACTCCCAACTTACAATCCATTTTTTGCCATCAAAATAAGCTTTGCTTGTTCCAATTTCAATTGTCGCAACACGAAGTTTCGATGACAACTCAATCAAAGAATTACACAACTTCAGTTTTCCAGTGCCAATTTGTAGTCCATCACACGTCTTTATTAAGTCCATACCCATAATCATGTCGTATTTGTTTATTACTTCATTCACACTCAGAACCACCACATCCACCAAGCACCCGTTCGTTGGGTGGCATATTTTGGCACTAACTTCTTCGCACCGAATTATTCCGCCCATTGTTGCAACATTTACTACACAAATCACTTTATAGTCAGGCGGGCAGTAACTTCTTGGTGATGATTGATTGCGAACAACCAGTATCCACAAGCGCTTCTTGTAAAGATACCTAATGCAAACTCGTCCCTTTTAAGTTTTCCTGGTTTCTCTGACGTTTGTTGCAGTCTTTTGCAGCAAGTTTATGCAAGCATTTTTTGCATAAAGAGGTACATTCACGTGCAAAGTGATTTAAGGATTCACTGTTGTAACATCGAATTTCTTTCTTTCGTCGTATTTAACTTGTCGTTCCAGTCGTCCGGTGAATCGCATTTACTTCTTCATTTACAGATAAACATGCCGCATCTAATCTTGTTTGTGCAACCACGGATGCAGTCTTGACACAATCGTCAAAGCTCAATGCATCGTCTCCCCGAAGAATGGCACGCAGAATGGCACCATCATTAATGCCAATTATGAATTGGTCACAAAGTCGGCCGTCTCTCTCTGATGGCAAAAACTTGCAGTCTTGAGCTGCTCGAATCACTCGATGCGCGAACGTCTGTATAAATTCTTCAGTACCTCGGTAAATTTTCCAAACTCATACCGTGAGATTAACGATGATTTTCTTATTTCCAACGTTTCCAATTTCGTTACCAATTCTTCGTACGAAACATCCTCTGGAACTTCCGGTGCTGTTAATTCTTCCATGGTCTTGTAAGTCTTTAACGGCAGAGCGGCAAGCAAAAACGCTACGTGTTGATCTGAAGTTATATTGTTTATTGCAAAGAAGGAAGTCATCTGTCGAATAAATCGCTTTGGCTGTCCATCTTCATATTGCGGAGATAATAGATATGCCCGGTTAGCTTGTTGTTCGACACATTTAAAAGCCATTTTTTTTGTTGTTAACGTTTTCTTTTAGTATATATTTCCGTATAGTTAGGGGAAGTTGGGGCATAGTATATCTGATTTATTTATTTTTTAAATTAAGCAAAAGTTAGAAGCGTGCGCTGAGAAATCTTAATAAAATATTTGAAATAACCATAGTCATATATTTAAATACTATGACTATGAAATAACGTCGAGTAAGTTTAGCGACCTCGGGCTCTTAAAATATTAAATGTTGCATGATAAAAATTGTTTTTAATTTGTTTACCGCATATAATTGCCGCTATTTTTGGGGAACTTAGCACATGAGAACTTTGTATATACTAAAATGGCTGACGAAGATTGGGCTGCATTAGTCGAAGATTATGAAAAAAGCACAGAAAAAGTATATTATAAATAATAATTGTTTTTATTTGACTAAAATGTAAGTCTAAGGATCTAAAATTTTTTGTGCATATATATATATATATATATATATATATATATATATATATATATATATATATATATATATATATATATATATATATATATATATATATATATATATATATATATATATATATATATATATATATATATATATATATGTTGAATTTAAACTGGAAATATTTTTAATTTATAGGCAATACATATTTCTATATGTACAAAAGCTTTAGAAAAATTTAATTCATATAGTCCAAAAAAAAAAGTTAAAATATCAAATAAGGCTGACTTAAATTTTAAAAAATGGGACAATAAGCTCCAGTATGAAAAGCATATGTTCTTACATTATTTGTAGGCAATTGTCACAGATCCAGTCCACAGCTTAAAAATCAATTCCATCTTTAGTTTCTGTGCATTTAATACGATATCAAACATCACATAAGTACATTTAATATGATGTCAAACATCGCACAGCGCGCCCATTCTTCTCCTTGACCTTTATAAATACCACACTTTAGACACATATTGTCGTTGTCTTCATCACTGTCCCTATCAGCTCCAGAGGAAGATTTTTTATTTTGTGGTCTTTTTTCTTGGAGCATTATCTTTTGTAGTTTTTTTCAATTGCTTCAAATATTCATTACTTATTAGACTTTTTCTGTAATGAAACCTGGCTCTAGCCAACTTACCGTGCCCAGAAATTTGCACAAGTCTGGGCTGCAGTTCTTTGAGAAAAAAGTCTCTAATTGAAGACTTTACTGAAGATGAAATAAACAATGGTGTCTGTGGTTTTTCTGCTGATGGTGAAGATAAAGGTGATGATTCTGTTGACCATGTTGTTGACAACAATACATGTAGTATTGTTGGCATCCAAACCGTATTACAAACACTTTCCAGCACTAGTGCTGGAAAGTGTTTGTAATACGGTTTGGATGCCTGGTTGGCAGACATCTGCTTTCATATGACAGAATTGTAGGCATCTGTCATTGTCTGGCTAGTTGAATAGGACTTCCTGCATCTTTCCTCTTCTTTTTTTTTATGTCTGAACCATTCTGCTCAATAAAAGTGGCATTACACAGATATAATTTAAATTTATAAAAATTTATAGAATAAGTTTAAATTTTTCTTTAAATATAGTTTTAATAATCTCCATTATTAAAACTATATTTAAAGAAAAATTTTAACTTATTCTATTAATTAATAACTTTTTTTTAAATTTAAATTATATCTGTGTAATGTTTATAAAATTAAAATGTAGATTTTGATCAATGTTATTTGATTGTTTTAATCACATTTTTGAACAGTGCAGGGGGCATTGAGTCCCTGCTAATTAAAACATTTTTTTAAAACTAAACTAATTAATAATCAACAGATTTCTTTTAGAAATGCTATCTATTTAAAATATTTCAAATTCAGTATTAAAGGTAATTTTATAGCTTTTTATAGACAATCTCTTAGACATTCATTCAACTGCCATATTACTTCGCTAAAATTTCAACATTCATTTACTCTATAAATATTAGTGTTTTAACTCATTAATCACATACGCAGGTTGTTAAAAAGTTAAAAAATACTTTCTTAGTCTATATGTACGTGTTTTTGTATGGAAAATAAAAAAATTTCAATGTAGAAATAATTTTTTAAGTCAGAACATTGCATATGTTTAATTGAACTTTTTAAACAAGTTTGAAGGAAACTAAAAACTGGATGGAAAAACCACTTATTAATAAATATTAACTAAGTATTAATGCCATTAGTTAGAAACCCTAGATTGGTAATGAAAAGTTCCCTGATTGGTTAGTTAGTCTCATCATGTAGAGTTGAATTTCCCTCTCTCTTAATACAATAACATTAGCAGCACTCAAAATAGTGGCCGATCAAGGATCAATGATCATCTACTTTTGGATAAAATGATATTTTGATCACCCAAAATCAATTCTGAACGATCAAATTTGATTGGCAAGAATTGCAAGTCAAACTTTGTTTTAAAAATTCAAAAACATTCCAAAACAAACATAACAAAAACATTAAAAAGACAAAAGTAAAACATCAACACAGAAACATTGAAAGAAAAAATTGATCAAAAAGTGCAAAAAAAACTGGTTTAAAAACAATTGATTTGGATTTGTCATCTGACAAACCAAATATCAAATAGTTCAAAATCTTTTTCATTATATTGTTTGTTTTCCCAAATAAATATTCTTGTGTTAAAGTTTCAATCAAAATACGTTTTTTCAAAGGTTCCTAATATTTCTTGTATCGTTTTAATAACAAAAAGTATCATTTCTTTTCGATAACCGAAACCATAAAAATTTAATCGTTAATATTTAAATAGCTTTTTCATTGCCTAGAACACTAGAGAATGAAACATTTTTGAAATTAGACTATGAATGAACGAGCTTGATACTACAGGCTTGGTCGGAAGCGGGAGCGATCGCTCTTGAATACTGACCACAGAAATTATATTTAATTGCAAAAAACTGGCCAGGTTTTTTAGTCGTTTTGACAACATTTATGTTTATGTATGTAACAAAAAAATTTTGTTTTACAGACATACATGGAAACATAAAAAACTTGAATGTTCTCAAAACAACTTGGTGCGGAAAAATAAAAAGAATATTGGCAAACACTAAAAACCCGCCAAATTAACGAACAAACTAATTCTATTGGTTCAAAAAATACACTTACTAAGCGAAATAAAGTTTTAGAGTATTCTGTTGAAATGTTTTAGAAATTGTATTATTCACAATTTGTAACCTTTTGAGATTTATAGCATAAATTGTTTAAAAATATATTAATGATACTATGGCTCATTCTCAGAGCCACATCTGCAAAGCTGTAAAGCTTATAAACTATTATTATTTCTTCACAAAAATAAATGTTTTAAATATATATTATTTAAATTGTCATAATTTTGAAAGTTTATTATAAATTATAGATTTTATTAGTATATTTTTATTTTAAAAGTATGCATTTTTTATGTAAATGTAATTTTGTCTGTCTGTTTTTTATCGTAATGTAATCTTTTATAGCAATTTTTATGATTTGATTTGTAACAAAGACTTATAAAAAATAATTGCGTTTTCAATGAAGTTATTAATAATCATTAAAGTTAATAAAACTAATTATGTAACAAATATATAAGAAGTTTCTGGTTACTAAACAATGCATACAAAGTAACTCTCGGTTGAACAAGCACGGCGCATGAGGTCACGACAGAACACAAATCTATACATCAAGTTATTAGATATAAAGAAAAGTTTCTAGATATTGGTTTACTAACTCTAATTATTTTCGCTTCAGTTGCCATTCTTAAAAACTTGTTATACTTTTTTCTGCTTTAAATACTAATTAAAATTAAAAAGCCCCCTCAATAAACATCATCAGCGATAATGTGAAGCAGTTTTGCTTCCTCACTTCCTTTCAGTATTTTATTTCTATCCAGTTAATTTAATTTCTATAGTAATTCAATGATTTAATTATTTTTATTTGTTTATCTTACTAAGAAGAACTGTTTCAAATATGTTAAACTTTTCAAACTACCCAAAACATAAAACAGGTATTAAAAAAACTAACTTTATAAGTTTATAAATATTAAGCTAAATTATTTATAAAATAAATTATTTATAAAATAATTTAGCTTAAATAAAACTAAAACTTGCATTTGTTTAATTAGAATCTTGTTAGACTTTTCGGGCCCGGGGGCTATTTTTATTTTGGATGCCTTTGTATGTGCCACAGCGTAAAAATGACTAAACAAAAAAGTCTTGACAATTTTGGGGCCCTAACATTGCGGGGCCCGGGAATATAGCTCCCTCTAAATCCAATCCTCATTAATCTAGCACTGGAAATAAGATATGAGTTTTGTTAAATTAGTATTTTGTAATTATCTCCAATTAATCATTTGCAAATTTTTTTTTTTGCTTTTTGAAATGTTCTCAAAATGACTAAATAGTCTGGCCAGCTTTTCGCAACTAAATATTATTTCCATGGTCAGCAATCGAGAGCAATCTCTCCCGCTTCCCGACCAAGCCTGATACTATATCTAATTTGTGTGTTTTTTTTTTTGTTTTTTTTCTATTTTAAATGTTTTTACTAAACAATCGTTTATCATATTGCAAACAGTTGTTTAGTTTAAACTATAGTTTTAACTGAATGTATGTAAAAGATATATTGCAGGCCTTGTGATAAATAAAAACTGTGTGACGCATAAGCACGACGCGATTTTTGATGTCATTAAATTCTTTTTATTTGCTTTTCATATTTATCCACATTAACTGTTAACAATTAACATTATCGACATTAATTTACTTAATTACCGCAAAACTACTTTAAATCGTTAATGTAGAAATGTTATTATTTAAAAATGTTTTGGAATGTTTCGTTTTTTAAAATGTAAAAACATTTGTTTATTTTCTCGGCGTTTGACACGTTTTGTCTATACTAAACGAATAAAAAACATTATAACTAAACATTTAAAAAAGATTATAAAATATGCTAATATTTGATTTTTTTTTCCTCAAATATATAATTTAAAGTTTTTCAAATAATTTTTTTTTCTTTTTAAAAAGTCAGCAAGTAATAAACTGGAAATTTTAATATTGTACGATTAAAAGTTGTGCAATAGATAATATTTTTACTAGCGATTTTATATAATATTTATTTTTATTTATTTTCATAAAGCGGTTGATAAGCACAATCACACGTATTACTAAAAAACTTTAACGAACGTTTTGAATAGATTTTTAATGTTCACAAGGAATTTTATTTTTGGTAAAATAAAATAAAATGTTAGAATAAAAATCTTATAGGTATAAAAGACATATTTCAGCGAAAAAATTATTCTTAAAAATTATTCGAAAAACTATTGACGTTCTATTTTTCAGCAGCTGATCTTAAGCTTGCTTCGTTGAGTTTCAGTAACTTTTAACAAAAAAACGATTGTTATTATTTAAGTAA